ATGCTACAAAATGTGAATCTAAATATTATTTAACAAAACTTTTAGGAAACATTCGCCGCTTATTTATTTTTATGATCGCGGTGCTGGTGGGGTTGGCTCTTACCCAATAGGCGACGTGGATTCGGCTGACGTGCTGCGGTTTCGCGGATGCATCGCAGTGAAAAGGCAGAGAGCTTTCGAAGGAAAGAAGGTGTAAAACAGTCCGGTTTTTTTTTTTTAAACTTCTATAGCGAAGATTTTTTTTGCTCTATTTTTGTATTTTTGGGTTTCTTTTCAGACATTTTGCGACGTGCGAGGGATGGAATTCCATTTCAAAATCGTTTCAAGGTCCCTCTAAGCGCACGTACAAAAGGAAACAGTTTTATCCGGGTGAGCTTTCGTCCGGTGAGCTCTTGTCCAATGAGCTTCTGTTTGAGATTCGGCGTCGCCACTGCGAAATCGCAGATAAAATTTAATAATGTGAATCAGGCACGACAGGACTGTCTAGATGGCGGATTGCTCAGCTTCTAAAATTGGGAACACAACAGCAACTCTGTGAACAACACTGACCGTTAACCTTCAGCCGTACTCAAAAGGGGAAAAGCAAACAGGTTTGTTTTGGCTCTATTGATAAGGACGAGGAAGACCCCAACCGCTCAGAGATTACGGCTCTGCCACCGGCTGTCGCAACGTAAGTCCGACTGTGACTGAATATACGTATATAGGGCGTTTGGGGTTTTCCTTACAAAGTTTCTGCATTCTGCGCTATCTAATTGGAAAGCTATAGGTCATTTTCGAAACCTTTCACCGCAAAAATGGGGCAAGTTCCAGGGAGCAGACGCTCTTCATCGGCACGATTTGGCGGGATTCGCTTCCTGTCATTAACTCATGTGAAATGTTCACAAGTTGCTGATAATTTTGATTCAGATGTTTGCGCCCAATCCCAGCCGGTAGGGAACCTTACTTGGAGGGGAGTCTGAACATTTGCAATATGCAGTTTTGTTGGGTAAAACCAGCTGAACAAAGGAAGGAAAGTGACAAGGAGAAAAGATTGGCGAACCGACCGCTGGTTCTTTTCTCCTTGTCACTTTCTCCTTCCTTTCTTTTCTCTTCTTTTCTCCTTGTCACTTTCCTTCCTTTGTTCAGCTGGTTTTACCCAAGATGTCTCAGAACCAACTAGCTCAGCTTTTACCCTTATTAATATGCAGTTGCTTTGTTTTATATATATATATATATATATATATATATATATATATATATATATATATATATATATATATATATATATAGATAGATAGATAAAAAAAAAAACACCGCTTATTTTGACGAAACAACGAGAGGACTAGCAGCAGAGTCGTGCTTGCGCCAACGTCATAGTTTTCATGATATAAGACTGTGTTCTCAAAAGAAATAACGACCAGTTGTAAGTCGGCGCTGTGGCGTGTTCGCCTCTTCTTCTTGCCATGCATCCTTCGCGGTGTTTGTTTTGCACAATCGAAAATTCATCTTTGCTATCTTTGCGGAGTGTTTTCGGTTCATAGGCATCTTCAAAAAGAAAAAAAAAAAAAGAAAGACGAGGGGAATTACGAGGTCAACCTAATTTTACCAAATCTTAGAAGAGTCCGTGTTCTAAGATTTATTTTGTTTGTTATAAGATTAGCCAAATAAGCGTCGTCTTTTCTTTCTTTTTTTCCTTTTCAACGGAAACGCTTTTCAAATAAAGATAGGACTGACGAGGCACGACTTCTCGTAGTTTTTATATTATTTTATTAACTAGTCGTACTGTTCCTCGTTGAAGGGTGCTCATTAAGAAAAAAAGCCTCGACCTTTCTTTATTTTTGTTTTTCGCTTTCATGACTGAACAACAAGCTGTCAAGAATTAGCAAGCCGTTCGTCAGCACGCGTTGGCAAACGCCGCTGCCTTTGTTTCGACGACAATGCGAATTGTCAATACAGTCAGACGCTGTCATCTTCACTGACGTGGCTACTTTCGGCTTGTCGCACTAGTAAAATGATAAAATCAGCATGCGAGTGATTTTCCACCGCCCTTATTTCACTCTTTGACAAGCAAGCAAGTTGTTTCTTGTAGTCGTTACAAGTGAAGAAACCAAGGGCGTCCCGAACATCAATCAATCATTCTCGCTAGATTGCGGCCAAAAAGAAATAGGATTCCTCCTCTTCTATTTATCCATATGCGAAGGACAGGTCTACCATGGTCTCAAACTGCACCCTAGCTCTTTCAAAATGTTCATGACACTCTCCGACTAACGAGCCACCTTGCTTATTATACAGCAATACAACTGCTTCAGGAATGTATACACCTTTAACGCACGCAATGGTTTTCAAACAACCTTATAGACATAAATATCCCCCAAACAAAGCTGGTCTTCTTCCGTAATCATTTAAAAGCTGCGATTCCAAGGACTCCATTTTTTTTCTACACACTTCACAATGTGTAGAGCGTCATTCGTTGCAATCTAATTCCTTACTCAGAGACGATGAAATACCTAGGTATTCATTATGATTCGGACCTTTCACGGAATTCACAAGTGACAATAGTATGCTCACAGCTAAAGAGCGTCCTATGCTTACTCTAAAAGATTAAAACGTTTTTACTATTTTGCATTCGGAAGCTCCTAGCCTACTCTTTAAAATATAGTGTGCTACGTTATGGCATAACAGTTTCCGGCCACTGCACTGAATTATGGCGTAAGAAAATAATATTTTAAATGTATCATACGTGAGGCCAATAAGAAACCTGCATCCTCTAGTGTGAATCTTTTTTTCGCATCTTTTCTGTGCCCAACTTCGAATCACTCTTCTCAGAAACAGTTGTACCAGGTCACTGTTGGACAAACGATTTGAAAACACCTCGACCGAATACACGAGAACTGCGAACGGTTTCCAGTTCCATTTTCGTACACGCGTTATTGCAAGAGCTTGCGGTATTTTCATGTTCCTCAGATATTCAATTCCTAACCCTCCGACTTCTTTGACTTCTCAAACTCAAAAACAGAAACTCTTATTTTGCGACGACGCCCTGTAATCCTTCACAGTGTCACTCTATAATTCTTGACATTTTTATAATGTCTAACAAAATCATTACGATTTACAATAGCCAGCTTTTCTGCACCAAGATTAGATACACCAAGAGCATAACACGTCTCAAGAGCTTCTTCAACGGTCACAATTGACTGGTTTGCGTGTGCGTGCGTTTGTGCACGTGTGTGCCTACGTGCGTCTTCCTCGCGTAAAATGATTTTTTTTTATTAGTGTTACGAGTTTCTTTGGAAATGACTCGACGACTCTTAGTGCTTGGCACAGTTATTTTCCTGAGGCCACTGCAGCATTGGAGTTGAGTCACACAAGCCCTGAATGGCTTTGACAGACGTGAGTGGTGACGTGGATATGCTAGTATTTTGGGGAAAAAATATTAATAACAATAATATTAATTTGATTATCATTATTATAACTATTATCATTATTATTCCACACATGTTTATGTTTAAATCGTAATCAAATTATACGTGCAACAAAATAAGTTCGAGTAGTTTCTCAATTGTTTTTTTTTTTCTCCTCGCGCGCTCGTTCTTTTCCTTGTCTCGCGAAGAGTGACAGCCTAACCACTGTTGCCTAAGTCCACGATAGACCTTTTTACAAATTCAGTGCCATCCAGTGGCTCAACTATCAATCTAAATTTATGTGTGCTAATAGCGGTTTGGATCTAGTATTAATTAGTCAATGGACGACATACGAAAGTTACGCTGTTCGATGTACAGTTATTTCTCTGGTATTTTTAGTTTCGATGCTGTTAACTACCTCTCCGTTCGAGGCGTTAAGTAAAACTCTCGATAAAGTTCTTGGAATTTTATTGTCTCTAATTGTCCCGAGCTGTCTGGACTGTGTCGAAGCTGGGCATTCCGCGAATTTACGTGACACCCTTAAAAAGCGTAGCGCATAGAAGCTTGTAAGACTTGTCATGCTGACATAGCTTTATCGAGAGATGGCGATGTATATGCATTCCTTTAATAAACAGTTTATTTCACTCACGAACCAGATCACAGCGAGCGCACGTCTGGGATGTTCAGGCTCCGCGTCGGTGCCCGTCTTCAAATTTTCGCTTCACCAGCCATCAAAGGCCGCCATTAGCACGTACAACCGTGAGCGACATGAAGGTGAACAGCCCTCTTCTTGTTTTTGACGCTCCTGCAAGTTTTAGAACAAGCTCTGTTCCAGAAGAGGGCTGGAACGCAAAGTTTAGACCCCCAAGCCACGTACCATTTCAGACGTTGAGAGTTAATATTAGCGACGAGATGTTTCGGTGGCGCCCTCGTTTGGTTACCTTTCGTGACGTCATTACCTTGTCAAGAACAAGTTCGATGGTGTTTGTGATGAGCATGGGGGAAGCCTGAAATCATAGCGCTCTCAAAGCAACACTGCCAACACCGTCAAAATTGAATTTCTTATATTGCTCTTATTTCCGTCGATGAGACATCCTTTGCTGACGTCATTGTCAGCATTCGGCCAATTGTGGTGGGCCGACCACAGCGACGCTTTCGATCGCTCACGTTGCCAATAGCTTTATAATAACAATAACAATAACGTTGCCAATAGGGAGCCGTAAAACAGGCAAGAAACCAGGTAAGGTGTTCACCTTCATATTGCCGGCGGGTGTACAGATGATATACAATTAGACGATGATAGTTATCAAGGTGGCCAGACTGAATTACTCTTAAGAATAATTCATTAGTGTAGCCAGTGAGAGAACGCAAAGGGCAGTGGAAGGCAAAGCCTCCAGCACACGCTCCGCGCCTTCCGGCCTGCTTGGGCTGCGCGCACGAGACGCGAAACCGTTGACAGGTATAGGAAGCTCGCGCTGGAGGCGGGGACAACTCAAGCCACCCTCCGCTGTTCTCACCTTGTCAGTCAAAATGGCAGTGCGGTTACGTACGCTGCAAGTTGGAGACATTACGTCCGGCTACGCGTAAAGGAGCGCGGACCCCGATCGAACGAATGATTACCTCGCTCATCCGAGATGTGACGAGCACCTTCCAACCGACACACAACACCGGACGTCGCAGCATCAAAAATGGACCACCATCTTCCGTCAAATCGTGGACGAGCTCATCCGGAGGAAACACACACTAGGAGCAGGGTCTCGCGTCACGTAGCACGCACCAACCAGGCGAAAAAAAGGGAACCCGAGCAAACGAAACCAAAATCGCGGCGTTGAGCACTTTCGACCGCATCGAGCAGTCAGACGTGGCAAAGACGCTTCCGAATCGCGAGTCAACCGAGTGCTGCTGTTCGCGAAGAGTGCCGCGGCGGTTCGTTATCGTCCCGAAATGGACGCGAGATAAGATGCCTCTCACAACTCGCCGAGTGTGGGGAGAGGACACGTCGGGATCGGATTGCGAAAACGGCAATCTGTCACGTTCCGTTTGTGTCACCTATACGCAGCTTGGTTCGGTGTCGAAACTCCCAGGTAGGGGTGTTCTTTCCGCGATATTTGGACATTTATAGATTTCCTCGAAAATTACGGCAATCAAAACAAAGCTGGTGGGCAGTATAATATCATCGATGACGATGATGTGGCATGATGAATGGATGGACAGTCCGCATACACTGGGCTTCATCTCAGACAGCATTTTGTTTCCGCGCAAGTGGAAACACACTAACGTTGAAAAAAAAATAAAAGAGTCTCGTGAGCTGACGCGCGAGTCAGATCAAACTCAAAGGTCTCCGCGATCTGCAGATGTTCCGTCGGTACAACGAACTTACCTCGTTGTTATTAGTTGTGAAGAGCTTCAGCAACGTCTCAAGTAATGACAAGCAATGGCGATAAGTTCCGAACCAGCCACTGAAGTCAATGCACGCAACTCCCAGTCTGCCGCGATGACATACCAGGTACCACAGTTCGACGGCACGAACGATATGTGGACTTGGTATATTATCCGCAATGAGTCCTACTTGGAGGGAAACGGCATCGTGGACGATGTAGAGAAGAGCGCGCTTCTCGTTACGGCGCTATCGACGTCTTGAGTGGGCGTTGCGCGCCAAGGACGGTTAAAGAGTTTACCTACGTTCCAGCGATGGAAATTCTCGAAGAATTGTACGCACCGACAGACCCAACGAGATAGCTGAAAGCTTCAGCAGGGTTCAGAACGAGGATGAGTCATCTCAGCAGTTTGTCGTGGAACTTCGGCAGCTGGCCGATAAATGCAAGTTCGGCGACATGTTAGACCGCATGCTACAAGACAAGCTAGTGTGTAGAATTTAAAGTGTCGACGTTCAGAAGCTAACGGTCATGTATGCATGGCTTGCATATGACGTCATTCGCGGCCATGACAGTATTTTAGGCACCGCGAGCGTTCGGTTCGCCGTGAAAGTTTCACACCGCAGAAGTTGTGGTTCGAAGAAACCAGTAAGTAGAAATAACCGTCAGTACCCAGCATTGATGACGCTTGCAAGCTGTGTATACGGATCGAGGACTGTTTTGTTACAACCGTCTGCTGTTTGGGGTGGATTCTGCGCCAGTCATTCTTTAACGTACCATAGCGACCATGATGGAGGGTGTCCCAGGCGTGCAAGCATATTTTGATGACGCCCCGGTTGCAGAAAAGAAGGGAGATGGCAGAAAGGGCCTCAACACGGTTGTGCAGCGATTCTGAGAAAACGGCGTCAAGTTAAGAAAGGAAAAGCGTGCGTTCCGGATGCCGGAAATCTGCTACCTGGGACACGAGATCAGCAGCGACGGACAGCAGCGCCCTGAGAAGAACCTCGATTCTGTGACGAAGGCTCCAAGTCCCAAGAACGTAAGCGAACTACGTTCGTACATTCGTCTTCTCACATACTATAGTAAGTTTCTTCCTAACATGGCTACCTTGCTCGCTCCCCCCTACGGCCTTCTAGCCAAGGACCGCCGATAAACCTGGGGTCCGGAGCAGCAAAGGGCGTTCGAGAAGTTCAAGCAAGCACTGCGACAAGCAAAGATGCTCACTCACTTCGAAACGTCTAAGCCGTACCGACTGCAGTGCGACGCATCGTCGTACAAAATAGGAACGGTGCTCTCGTATCGCGTCGGAAATATCGACAAGCCAACTGGATTCCGAACCCGAAAACTGTCCAAGGCTGAGGGAAACTACTCTAAACTCGAGCGTAAAGCACTGGCGTAGGTGTTCGGAGTGTCTAGGTTTCGCGACTATATTCTTGGTCGATCGTTTATTTTAGTAACAGACCACAAGCCTCTGGTTCGATGGTTTCGTGAGGACCGACCCACACCAGTCATGGCCGCGGCTAGGATCCAGCTCAGGTCTTGGCAGCTGAGAGCCTATAGATACAAGATCGAGTACAAGCCTGGGCAAGACAACCAAAACGCCAACGCACTCAGTCGACTTCCAATAGAGACTCCCGAGGAAGCCACTGGTGAGCTACCTGAATACGTTCATCAGCTCGACAACACACGGACCATCACGGAGGGTCTCAAGAAAAACTTGAGACTGGTAGTTTGTCTACGCGACTCGAAAAGGTTGTATTCAACTACAGTAATGTGCCCCTGGACAACGCAAGATCTCCGTCCCAGCGGCTTCTATGGTACCAAATCCGTTCCCGCCTGAATGCCTGCCTCCCGCCTCCTGTCTCTTTTTCTCTCTGTTCGGAGGAAGATGCTGCGAGCAGGTTTTGCCCTGGCGACTCCGTCTAGGCACGCAACTTCGGTGAAGAAGAAAATTGGCTTCCAGGAACAGTTAAGGAGCAACGGGTTCCAGTATGGACACGGTCAAGACGTCAGTGGGAGAGCTGATGCGGCATATGGACCAACTTTGTCCATGAGAGAACACAACACTCGCACCACCGTTGAGCGAGACAGCTGTGCCACCCGATCAAGGTGCAGTTTCACCAGCGCAGTCTGACTTAACGGAAGACGAAGCCGTCCCAGGACTTTGGCTGCCTACAAGGCCCAATAAACCTGTTCACCGACACTCATCTTAAGGCTGGAAGAATGCTGCATCTCGGACAGCATCTTAATTCCGCGAGCGTAAAAGCGCACTAACGTTGACAAAAAAAGAAGTATCATGAGCGGACGCGTGAGCCAGATCAAACTCGATGGTCTCAGCGATCTGCCGATGTTCCGTCGGTACAATGAACTTTCCTTGCTGTTAATAGTTGTACATCGATTAAAGAGCTTGAGCAACGTCTCGAGTGATGTCTAGCACAAAGGCTTTTTTCCCCTTGCACGACAGTCATGTGACAATAAGACAAGAACTGTCCGCAGACAAGCATACATGAAGGCACCGTACGTGAGGCGTGTGCGCAGATGTCATTATGTCCGCAGCGATGTCTTTATTTTGTATAATGTACCGAGCAGTGTCCTCTAAACTACGCGCGCGGCCACGGTGTTGTGCAGATGTTTAGACAGCTGTAAGCCAAAAATGGCGTCACATGTCTCCGATGTACGCAGGTGTGTTCGACCGGTATGTGATTTCCACAACATACCGGCTCGGTTAATATCGTCTCTCGACGGGATCGAAAAATACTTCGCATATTTTAGGCCTCGTGGCAGACTCAGGGAAAAAATGAGCGCAGTCTACCGCACTGTTGCGTCTCGTAGAACGCACCAACACGAAAGAACGATAATAATCAACGCGTGCGATGCCGTAGAAGTACTAAATTATCATTCCAGCCCAATGTCTTCGCTGCTTACGTATGCAAACCTCCCCCCGTCTTTCCTCACCTCGCCTCTTCCACTCCTAACGCGCACACCTGCCCTGGCCCAGTGCGGGGCGTGAAAACGATCGCGAACGCTTTTGAAAACTGCCAAAGGAGCTGTAATCTCATTAGGCAAATGCACAGGCCTCCCTTGCAGGGAGCGATTTTCGAAGCTCCGCGGAGAAAACGTTCTCGTTTCCTTCCGGGTAAATGAGTAAGAAAAAGAAAAAGAAAGGACAAACTTGGTGAAGTTGTGTAAGGCAGCGGGAAAGTACGTTTACTGGGCATAGAAAGAAGAGTTGAAAGAAAATGGGGAAAAGTAAAAGGTCTAGGAGATATACATAGCGTACGTTTGTATGTCTATCAGAAAGAGAAGAACAAAGCTTGCGTATGTGTGAGTGTCTGTGAGAAAGAGAGAGAGAGAGAAAAGAGAAAGTGACGAAACGGGTTGCGGCAGTTTATTTGAGAGAAAGGAAGAAAAAGCGTGGGTAACAGAACACGTGTGTGTGTGTGTCTGAGCAAGAAAGAGTAATTTGTAAGTGAAAGACAGTGTCTCAGAAACAAAGAGAGAGAGAGAGAGAGAGGGGGGGGGGAAATAGAGTATGGAAAGCCAGAGGGAGAACTGGGTCGATGAGCACGAATTTTAAACCGCACGCACAAGGATGGGGAAGGCGCGCTTTCGAAGCTGCGTTTCAAGGCTTGTGCTTATACCGCGCTTAGAGCAATGCGCGCCAAGTGGCTTCGTTTGGTGTTGCCCACGTATTGCCGAGCACGTTTATCACGCCTGTCATTGCGTTTTACGAGCCAATCTACATTATTGTTCCTTCTTTTTTACTTGAAACAAATAGGTTAAATAGTTGCTTTGAGAATTCAGACGTTGTGCTTGTCGTGTAAAGCGTGCCGCGAACAATCAAACGACTGTTTATAAAACAGGCGAGACTGTGTGACTAAAACTTGTACATACCCTACACGGTTTTACCTCACGATGAACCATAGAGGACACTACGAGGCGGCGAAGCCAATCTAATGCCGTATCAACGGCACGTGACCTTCGAGGGGGGCGCTGCGACGCGCCGCGCTCTTGGTCACGTGAGACAATCGCTACACTGGATTGGCTAGGCTGGCTGGTAGCGTCAGTTGCGGTTCAACATAAGGTGAAACGAAAGATGGCTGCTGTCGTTCTCTTTCTGCTTCCTCTATTCCCTTCTTTCCATTCTCATATGCACGTTTGTTCCCTTACCTATTTTTATCGTAAGAGCTACAAAACATACAAAAAAAAAAAGAAAACGTGAAAAACCAAATGTTTAGAAAAAAAAAACAGAGTGGTACATGATTTTATTTAGAATTCTCCCCCACCACCAACCCGTTTTTTTTTTTTTCTTGCTGTACACGAGTTATTTCAGGCAATATTCAACTGCGCTCGCAAGCAGTGTGGCTGGGCCATTAATGCGTCCACGTTTTGTATTTGTAATGGCGAGCGCGAAAACAGTCGGCTGAGAGGCTGTAATCATATTGGTTGCTTTCTAGTTAGCACTAACACTGACTGCTAAGTCACAATGGGAGCGAAACCGAAAATCTGACGAAAATATGAAAGAAACGAGAAAATAGAGGTAGTTTTATTATTGGTCCTCGTACGCGTCG